CTTGTTTTACAACGTCGTTGCCAAGCGACGAAAACACAACCCCGATGGCAAAAATCGGGGGGGGCGACTTGTTTTACAACGTCGTTGCCAAGCGACGAAAACCCAACCCCGATGGTAAACATCAGGGGCGATGNGGGGGGGGGGGGTACCTTGCGTAGCGGTCGGGTCGCCCCGGTGTTTCAACTGGCTCGCTAGATTGCGGGTTCGCAACCCTCAGGCACGATTTTTTTTTTCTACCACACAAACTACAAGCGGAGTAACGGTCGTTAGTCGGGATGCAGTGGCGCCACACGGTGTTGTGGTCGCCATCCAGGGCACGTCGCTAAGATTGGGGATTCGCCGACCCGGACCCCCCACTGTACCGTAGTCCAAATCAAACACAATCCAAGTATCAGCAGCGGGAGGTTGTTTTCCTATCCAGTAGCCTCCGCAGGTTCTTCATAACCACACACACATGGAATCGGTGGAATTTCGGGGGCTATACAAGCGTTGACGTCACCTCTATTATCTCATCTCATAGATAAAACTAAATTATTTCGTGTTGGCACAGCCCTTTCCACCCTATTCACCTGACGGGTGTTCACTACGGCCGCCGCTTCCCCAACTCCCTTCCGCCCTCTCCGGCCCCCACCCTCCCCGTCGTCATCTTCGTGCTCTGGCATGGCCTTCATGAGCTCCGCGAGGTACGTGATGTTGGCCTTCTCGTCGTCGCAGCACTGGGGGTCGTCTGGGTCTAGGATAGAGCCGACGCCATACAGGCGTTGGAAATCCTCGAACGCCCTGGTAACAAATTCCGCACCAAACAAAAAAGCGACATAAGAGAGAATGGAAATTCTGCCTGTTGCTGGCAGCCCTGGAAATTTACACCTGAATGAAAAAGGAGACATTGCTGAGTACTTGTAGCCCTGGCAATGACGCACGGGACAACGCACGGGAGAAAATACCGCCTGTTGCTGGCAGCCTTGGTCATGAAACCTGAAAAAGAGAGCGAAAGGAATACGCGCATGCTACAACGACAGTGTAGCCCTGGTAAATGACATGGGGGAAAAAGGTGCTGGTATCTATGAGCTAATCGTCGACATCGGGCGCCAGAACACGTGGGCCGTAAATGTTAACCCCAACCACCACAATGACACACATACTCAAATCGCGCACGCGCTACTTGTAACCAGTGACTGCTCTCGGCCAACCGTCTTGAGGGACGGGGGGGGCGTAAACAGCTCAGACTTTCAGGTATCGGGTGGCGGAAGGCCAGAGCGTCCCCATTTTTCAGGTGCAAACAACCAGCAACAACCTCAACACGACACCACCGCCAACAACAACAGCAAACACAACAGCATCGGCCCCACCCCCACTCCCCACCTCTTGAGGTTATCCGCCGGGCTGTCGGAAGGCTCGTACGGGCTCTGGGACGGGTCGTAGTCGTTCAAGACAGCCAGCAAGGCCCGACCGTCGGCGAGAGAGGTCGTGAAGTTGGTCACCTCGACGTCGGGGAAGTCTTTCGTCCTCCGGGTCATCCACTCCATGATCCTGGGATGACACATAGCGGAAACAAGGTAGCGTTCGCCGCGGTTGATCATCATCATCATCATCATCATCATCAGCAGCAGCAGCAGCAGCGGCGGTTGTGTTGGTGGCCGCGGTTGATCAGCGCATCTGCAGCTAACGATTTTCAGCATCGACCACGCCACTCGGCTGACGCGGCCAATGAGAACATGCCAGCCTGGTGCTGTATAAGTATGATATAAAGCATGGTAGACACGTACAGCTGGCTCCCTTGGTAGGAGGGGTCGGAGGATAGCGTCCTGTCTCCGGATTCGAAGCAGCACTGGTGGCAGGCAGCGGCACACGGGCTACAGTAGCCACCGATGCAAACACGCTTGGTGGGGGGCTTTGCCGTGCGAACTTGCGTACAACGGGACCAAAGGCTGTTGCCGGTGTGCACTCCTGTTGTCGGGATGAGAGCGGGGTGTGTGAGAGAGAACTTCCAAGATAGATCGCCCTCGGCAAAAAATGACCTCCAGTTCCTACGTAACATACAAGGTGATCTCTGTTCTTTTTCCTCCTTTTAATTGTGCCATAGCGTACGGCGGGAGAGTCTGTGATCACCGCCAAATCGAGTCTTTACTGTACACTTGAAGGACGAGACAGAGGAGATACGGGAAGCAGTCCAGAAGGGTTCATAATCTGCAGACACCAACAAAAACAACCACCAACGACAACAGCAGTCACCCCCGATTCGCAACAAAAATATTTCGCTAGTCCAGCAATAAGTCAACCCCTCACCCTCCAACTCGTAACAAAACTCCGTTCCTAGTCCCAGGACAGCCCTTGATCACTCCGCCTTTCCAAAAGCACTTCCTGAACCCCCCCCAGGACAGCCCCTCGTCACTCCGTCGTTCCAGAAGCACTTCCAGAACCCCCCACACACACACACATTATCTCTTCTTGAGCACGGTCACGCCGAGATAGATGATGTGAAATTAACAACAACAACAACAACAACAAGCTATCTCCCCCCTCGGTATTTGCCATCGGGAGTGGGTTTTCGTCGCTTGGCAACGACGTTGTAAAACAAGCCAACTCACTTCGCGAACTCGGCAACCAGGTTACCGTTTGGTTTTTGTAACCTCTGTGTTTTTATTTTTGGCGGTAACCATAATGGTGGTCGAGTAGATCATGTTGTGCGGGGTCGAGACGCCTTCATCCGCGCAAGGGGGATGATCGCACCACGTGTCAAATTGGTCAAACACCCTCGAGGCAGTTACACCGTGCTTACATCTGTCTCAGGAAGTGAAAGCACCAGAAAATAAACTAAGTCATACGCAGCTGTCATCCGTACGCAAGGAAGTAAGCACAAGATGCCGAAAACCCTTAGCAGGATGCAGCGCACCCTTC